TTGCTCGTTTGTTCCGTCATGCTCGCAGGCACTGCGAGAAACGGACATCGCGTATGGTATAACGTCTCCTCAGCGTACTATGTAATATTGTTTGCGTAGATCTTGTAGGAGAGTAGCAGAGTGCACGCTTGATGCGATCGCGACGACGAAACATCCTCGAGATGACTTACACCACTACACAAAAAACTTGCGCGAGTGGATACCGTGTGTGTGTATTGGGTACAAAAATACGTTTCCATAGGTACACGAGTCGTCTCGAAGCCAGAACGATCACAGTTGCGTTTATTTAGCTCTTCGAGCGACTCGACTGGAAGGATCTATATACAGATATGAGACCGTGTACTCTCTTTTATCCCAGAGTTCTGGAACGGCATTGATTGTTCTGGCTTCGTGACACGTCAATATACATCCTAAATGTCATTTGTATCGAAGAGTCGACCTAAACTCAATCTGGAGACAATCGCATGATTGCGATATGTATTTTCAATTATTCTAATAAAGTATCTCCTATCAAACGACGTCTCGATTGTACTGACACCATTTACTTAAAGACGCCATTTTCTTTGAATGTGTTAAATGTAATTACAAGCGTTTCTCATAATTTACGAATCACCGAGAATATATTAATTTTTTCCACGAAAAAGAGTTCTTTGTCTAATTGTAAGTGAAAATTAATATGATAAGAGTACACTTGAAGACGGTGAGTTAGTTATCTGTGCATAGTCTACGTCCGGAATGTCTAAGCTATCACTTTCTAAATATGTATATAGATACAAGGTCTGTTTTTTAACAATAAGTCCTCTGAATTGGTGCACACTGGTGCAATAAGTGGAAGTGAAACAAATATAATGATATAAAAATATGTTTTTCTTCAACTTATCGCATTGTGCACCAGCTCGGAAAATTCTTCGATAAAGAACAGGCCTACAATAAAAAGACTAAACTGAAAAATGTATACCTCAAGTAATCGAAAAAAAATTCCTCGAAATTATATGTGTACTGCCTAAACTAATATCAAATATAATCAATTTTTGAAAATTATTAATGTATCAATGTCTATTAAATATATTATTCATCCATATTTGCTATATTAATATTCTTATTTACAAAATATAGAAAGAGAAAATCAAAATGTTACACGATAACTTTTCGAAGAATATTCTCTTTTTCTCATTAGTCTTTTCAAATAATAATAGTGTGTTATTGCTTGTAGTTTAGAAACCATTATTGTTTAGATATAGTGATAGTTTAGACATAGATAAGTTTAGTTATTCTACTGATAGACTATTTTTTCCTGCTAAAAAATATAAAATATTCATACATTTTTAATTTGAAAATTCTACAACGTACAGTCATTTGCAGAAAATTGAAGTCCTACTTCCACGATTACGAGAGAAAATTTTCGTAGTTTTCTTTTCCTTTGGTACTTTTACTAAAATAAAATTTTGTTTAATTTTAGATTCAAACATACTAAAAAAATATGCTAATTGGTAAGTAAATTTCTGCTTCTCTTAATCTATATACATTGTAAAAATTTATTTTACTATAATACTTTCTAAGCTCATGTTTAATATACAGTATAGTCCTTTAGTATTCTAAAAAATCTAAGAGAGTAATTCTTTACACTATGTATAATAATTCAAAACGGAAACTTTATATGACTATAAGTCCAAATTTATTGTTAGTTCAAAGATACAGAATGTCACGGTTGAGAGAAAAATTTTGTTTTTTCCAAAAAATTCAAAACTATTTGTTATTTGTCGTTATTTTGATAACACTTGGTATACATAAAGTACACGAAATAACTCGAGTAGTTTTCACAATTTTTGGAAAAAATAAATTTTTTTTTAAACTTTGACAGCAATTATATTTGAAACTAAGCCGTTTTGGACACACGATGTGTGTGAAGTTTCCACTTTAAATGTCAGGAATCACCTCTTGAAAATCTTTTAAAATACTTAAGAGAACCACTTTGTATGTATATTCAATTACTCGATATAAATATGCAAAATAACGTCTCGGTTTTTTTCTTCAATGTTCTACTTTGCGACTACTCAAATTCTCTCTCTCCCTCCCTCTCTCTCTCTCCCCCTGGAAAATAGGTGATATCTTAATTACTGCCTTTCGTAACGAATCGCTGATGATTTATCGGTAGTAATTCACGATCGAGTAATCATCGATCTTGGCTCGAGGCAACGTGGATCGGTTGATGTGGGTTACAAGCCGATGAACGCAAAGCGAAACGAGGCAGGCGGTGAAATCAAGGCTCGTCGCACAAAAGCCGCCGTGTGCTCAAGCCATAGCTCGCTGCAAGCGGCATACGAGACACGGCTCGACGTACACACTACCGGGGACAATAATTATCAGCAAACTTTATAACGAACTTGGACATAGTACTCGCTCATCCGTTACAAGTCTCTGCCAGAATCGACGTCGTCCTGATATCGACGTCGACATCCTCCTTTGTCGTGAACGACGGACGATTAATGGAAGATCGCGTGAGCTCCCCTCCCTCTCTCTCTCTCACTCACTCTCTCTCTCTCTCTCTCTCTCTCTCTCTCTCTTACTTTCTTACTTTCACATTCGCAAACGCTCAAATTGTCGGTTCAATACGCTTTCACGATGTACGGATGCTCGTTTATTTTTTGGATGACTTGAAGGGATTTTATCACGAACTTTGTTTCGGTAGTTTATCACTTCAGCTATGACTCCAATGCTGTTTGTTTCTAATCATCGTGTCTTTGACTATTGGAAAATGTCATTTATAAAATAATAATGGCAAGAAAAGATGAGATTTTTGTAAATGGAAATTTTATAATTCTTGGGGCAATTTTAACTCTTAACTGATATTTGAGATCACCAGTGACTCCAGCTTATGTAATTTTGATTATTTCCAAGATTAACATTATTGATTTTGTTCAGTTATTAGTTCAATAAAAATCCCAAAAATCAAAACATTAACTATTGGTCAAAATCTTTAGATTTTTATTTAAATATCTTTTTAAATATATAAATTTTTGAAAAAGTTAAAAATATTATTTTTAACTTTTTTAATGTCACTTAAATACAAAAATATTACAAACACATCCAAAGTTTATATTTACTTCAGCGTAAAATAAATTGCAATTACTGATAATCCTTCGATGCAATAAAGAAAGGCCATATCAGTTAAGAGTTGAAAATACGAATTTGTACGAAATTTTAAAGGTTGCTGCAAAGATGGTTATAGGTCATTAATAAATCTTATACTCCTATATGTACATGAACAAGGAATCTTGATATTGCTTTTTTTTTAAACATACGTATACGCAATCTAATACTGAAATCGAAGGGTATATTTCCGAAAATATCTTCTTCGACTCTTTTTATCAAGGCACTTGGATATTGCTACGTTTAATAAATCGAAGATTAAATCGAACCTTAAGAACGCTGCAGTCAATATTCTAGTTCTTTATTTCGCAGTTGGAATATTTTTCGCGCGTAATGGAGCTTCCGAAATTCATTCTTAACTATTCTCATGCTGTCTTTTTAACGCGCGCGCGCGCAGAGACTTCATATTTCATAACTTCATATATAACTTTACCAAAAGCAACATTATACCGTGCGATTGTACATTTTACCGATTCTATCGAAGATATCGGGAGAAAATCTCGGAAAATCTTTTATTAAAAATATTCCATATATCGGAATTTTCTCGGCACGTTTCGTGAACACGCTCGCAACTTATGAAAATAATTTCTCGATGATTAAGTAATATCATAGTGAACTACTATTACACCTATCACTTTAACGAGTAAGTCGTTCTCGGTCTTCGTTAATGATCTCGAAGTCACTGTCCGAGCGATGTAACGTGACATCGCTGATGGAACGACAGTAATTCGCGCGAATGTTTAGGCTCGTCTTAAAGCGCAGCAGGAGCGCGTCCTTCGTGGCACTGACATAACATACAATATACGCTAAGACGTCACGCATTCCATCCGTGTAACGGCCAGCCGTTCATAGAATCGTGACAGGGAGCCATCAGTTCCTCGCAATTGGAACGACCCTGAACTACTCCTCGTCGTCGTCCGACAATGACGACTTTCACCGCCACTTGAAAGAGACCCCGAAGCCGGCCGGCCCGACCGACCGACCGAAAACGCCCGATGTCTCGCCTCTTGAGTTCTTATCGTCGACCCGAGAAACGTCCGTCCGATCGTACTCAATCCCCCAAGGACGCGAAACGCGAACTTGACACATTCTCGCGGCAGCAATTTTCTCTATGGTCTTCTCGGTGGTTTTCTAGCTCGAAACGATCTCCGAAAGCGCTTCCGTTATTCATGATTAATAAAGAAATATCCAAATCGGTCATTAATGACACATTAGATGACCGGGGGGGGGGGGGGGGGGGGAAATAATTTATGGGGACCAAATGGTGTGATAATTGGCAGGTTTGCAAGGTCCGATGAGTATATATTCGTAATCGATGATGTGTCGACCATTGTGACATCCCCATGGGAACATTTTAACCGTGGTTTCCAGTCTTCTATTTTGTCTATACAATAATTTTTATTTATATTGGACCAAAGCGTCGGAATTCAAAAGGATCATTAATATTTCTTCCTCAAAAATTGTCTAATGGACCGATTCGCAGCATTCTGAGCGATCTCCTTTAATCCTCTCCACGGTAAGCAACATCCCGGCCCACGTCTATTTTTCTTCATTTCTTTTGCCGATCCTCTTTCCCGACCGTAAGTCGATGACTAGTTTTAGATAAATCTGCATCAGAGCGCGGTGACTCCAATAAAATCCAATTGACGCCGCGAGTGAATTCCCTTTTCGTCCCTCCATGATGAGAATCTACGATGTCACAGCAGCCTGCTGCTTTAAGTCGCATTTCGCACATCACATCCTATGCCATTTTTCTCTCTTTCTCTTTCGGACAAATCTAAATCGATCACCTCGGTCGAGCGAACAATCGAAAAATATCCAACGCGACCAAGTTTCGGAATCGACTTCAATCACCCGCGAGGCTGATGGACAACGGTGGTTTTCAACTACGCGACGATGTCCATGTCGGACGAGGAGTTCGACGTGGTCACCGCCAGGCTGCCGAGGGTGTCCTCGTCGGTTAAGCCGTGGTGACAGCCGGTCGCAGGTGGGCTCAACGGCGGCAGGTGCGGCGACGACAGCATCGGGTCGCCACTGTGTACGGGGCCGCTGGTGTCGTCCTCCATGAGGTCCTCGAGATGCGACATGCTCAGACTCGTCGCTTCCTCCGTCACCGCCAGATCCGGTATCTACGGCAGAAAAAACATTCGGTGTCCTGTAAAACGTACCGTCCACGAGTGCCAACTCGAACTCGGATAGTCGAGGCCTGATCTTGGATGGGATGCGAGACGTGACAGTGAAGATGAGAGTTCGATGAGTATTTCCGGATGCGAGATCCACTAGGAAAGTATATAGGAACGGACACGCTGGAAATCCATTATAAAAATAGAGATGTTTGGACTGTCAATCTTTTATGAAAGAGCATAGGACGAGACGTGCTGGTGAGGTCATCGCAAATGAAAGCGAAAATGGGTATGTGCTTATATTTAATCTCGTTATTGATTGATAATATACGATGTGGAAGATTAGTTTACGTGTATGCGAGCAATATTGAACGTTTATTGCTATTTACATTGTGTACATGATAGGATATGATGAGATTTGTAGCGAAATGAGCAACAAGGAATGTAGAGATTTTAATCAAAAGCTATTAAATGAAAATATTAAAAGATATAGGAAAAGTTCGGAATTTCTTTATTTAAGCAATCAGTCTTAAAAATGTAAGGTATGTAGTGATAGAAAAATGTGTGTGTACTAACTTTTAATAAATATTTGTCTGAATAGTACACAGCTGAACATTTACTAAATGTAAACATATTTATTTTGTGGTACAAAATAATTAATTTTATTTAATTATCACAAAAATTGCGAAAGTAAAATTATGATTGCAGATGGATAGCTAAAAGGAGTGAATAATTACTTCTTAATACTCAAAATATGTAATTAACCACTACCTTTCAGTATTAAATTTCTGTAAGGAACAATAAAAAGCATTAGAAAACATAAGACTGATCGCTTCTTTTCGACTTCAAATGATATGAGAAATTAGATATTTGATATTGTCAGAGTTTAAACGTCTATTATCTCTGCAAAGTCCGTATATCTATCGAAGTAAGCTGATTGAAGCTGTTTCTCTGCCAGGCGTAGTTAACTCCGGTAACTTTGCGAAGTCACAGACGGGTCGGCTTACCAGAACCGGAATTAATTTCCAATCGCATTTCAGGCGCAAACGACTGTGATTCAATTCGCCTGCCGTTATATTACTGATGCAACTAATTCGTCGGATTACTTGCCGGTCTTTGCTACGCCGAGAATTTATATGAATTATGTACAACAAAGCACTCCTACTGCACCGCATAACACCAAATAAAAGAAACTTCATCGAGTACAACATTTGTAAAATACGTTTCTTGACAGTTTTTATAAATTATTTTATCATTTCTAAACCGACTGTACAACTGATAGTAATTTTTTTGAAGAATCGATTTCATCAAGTGCGGTAGACAGCGTGACGTTATTTTTTAATTTTTAATGTATACATTATGTATACATATATATACAGGAAAGGTGGTACATTTGGTGATACAATTGGTGAGATAATTTTTTATGTAAAAGTATGTATAAGTCGACAATATAGAATGAAATTTTTTTATATAGAGAAAACTCAATTTTTGAAACAAATTAAGTTCATAAATATACAACAGTATAAAGTATAGAAATTATTATTTAAATGTTACCAGTATTACAAAAAAAGATATTGTGCGAGACACGAATGATCCAATCGTATAATAATGACCCAATAATTAACTAAGAATAAACTTAATTATTATTTTATTTTTACTCACCAAGACGTATCTAAAGCCTCATCGGCCTACTATCCAATTATATTGTTCCTTTTCTCTTAGTTTAATATAATCCTATTAATTCTTTATTAAATTGTACAAAGTCGGAGATTAATGGGACACAATTTTACAGAAAGAGAAAGCCACAGAATGTCTTGCTTGTCAGTTTTAATAATACAAATCTCTGGTTTGAAAGAGACGAGATCACATTTCGTGTGATTTCATATTTGACGCGGTGTTCCGCGAAGTGATCGCAAGCACCTATTTACATAACCGCCGTGTATTCGAACAGCGCGGAGGGCGTTAAATTTGCATGAAAAAATGCCGCGGCGTGCTGTTGTGCAACGCGGTTTCTGACGTTACAGCTCATTCGGCGATTATCCTTTGTCCCGACGTTGGAGTGGCGCGCAACCGTGTTCTTCTCGCGAAAATATACGCGCCGAGATGCGAGATAAAAGGTATAAGTCTCGCGCGAGAGGTAGCACGGTACGATAAGAGGCAGACGGGACGATAAGAACTGCGCACCTGCGGACGTACGCACGATGCCGGTGGTAAGAGTAAATATTTTCCACGACATTCAGACGCGTGCGGATTTAACGTGTGCAATTACGTTTGCAATTATACAATCTCGAAACGAGAGCGTTGCACAAATCCTTTGCGCGTACAGTGCCTTCTCTGGCAGAAATAATTCATCGCCGAAGTGAGAGCCACTTCGCAAACTGTAACGTTCGTTTCAACATAAAATAACGAATTGAGTAAGAAGTCTGAATATACATTCATCCCCCCCCCTCCCCCCCTCAGGGTAAAAGTTTGGAAACACCTTCTAAAAATTGACATTGTTGGGACTACTCAACTTAAATATCCAAGACAATAAAATTGTTTTCTTTATACAATAAAATTCTTCATTCATAAGTTATCTATAATATATTATATCTATATTATATCTGCTTGATTTAATGAGTCTGGTTATAACATCTCTACTCCAAATCAAAAGTTCGGAAACACTTTCTAAATATTTTTAACTTATTCAAATATCCATAACAATATGCTTTTTTAATAATTTTTCAGATAACAGTTATTAGATCTCTAAAGGATAATTGTTTATTATATAACTTTTAGCAAAATAACTTTCGGCTTGAAGTGTCAGTCGAAGTGTTATAAATATACAGACTCTTAATAAATCAAGCACACACACTAAATAATCTACACGAATAAGTTCATTACTCGACGGATTAATTATATCGTTGCCAGTTTAGAGATAATCCGCTCACTATATCTTCCGTATTATTATTTCAAAATATACATATTCTATCCTTGCGTTTTTTCTGAAAATAATTGTTATCTGAGGCATTTGTACGACATCGTTTACATTTCACGTAAGATAAATCGAGGGACGAAATTAACGTTTAAGCAAACCGGTACGGCGGTTAAGTGTCGTAGTAAAATTCCTCTGTGCAATACGCGAGCACTTCCCTCACCTCAGTCGGAACTCGTCGCGCGAATCGCGGTACGGGACGTTATCAATGTTTAAATTTCTCTAACCGCGAGGAAGCTGCTTGTCAGACTACTTACGCCCCGACGGAACTTTATCTCGAACAATATTTCAACTCATCCTTCTCTCGGTACGTCATCTCGTGTCTCCTTCGTTATCTCGCGCGTCGCAGCATGCGACTTCGAACGTTTCCAAAAGTGAGACGAGTGCGGACGTAAATTATATCGTAATAACGCCAATGCACACAGTAATCGTCCTTTTCTACGTGCCGTCACATATGAAATGAACGAAATTTTTATGTTCATTTTGAAGAACTCGGAAAGCACACAATTATTATAAATAAGGACAGAAAATAAAAGAACCACTTTCGGTTTTTTTTGGGCTATAGACTATCTGACATAATTACCGAAAAATTTATAATCAATTGCGTTAGAAACGTTATATAGATGACTACACTCAGGAAAAAGTCTTTGGTAGGTATTTGTAACTATAACTACATGATAAAATAATAATGATTACGAAGTTAATATACCTTCTTATAATTATTACTGTAAAATGTTAGTAATAATTATATTTATATTCTATAAATAAAAAAATGGTTATAATTCGAAATCATTTTCGATGCTAACTTTACTAATTATTTTATCCCGCAATTATAGTCATTATACCAATACCAAACACTTTTCTATTAGTGTAAATAATTTTTCGCAATTTTTGCATACGTACAATATAATAATCCTATATGTTACTTATCGAACGCTTAAAAATCTTAAAATAAAATTGATGCATACGGTACAATGAGTTAAAGTAAAATAAATATATATACGTTTATTTCATTCTGACTTATACACCGTATACACCAGCTCAGAGAATGTAGGAATAAAAAACAGACTAATTAAAAGTTTTGCGGATATGGGCGGACGTCAGTTGCGCCACTGTCATTAATGGACGTAATAAAAATGTTAATAACCTCTCCATATTCCCTTGGCGACACGGCCTCTTTAAGAGGTCCAAATCTGTCAAAGGTCTGTCGTCGTCGAAGCACAGCATCGTCGTTATCGGAACTTGAAGAGTTTTTAATCGCATCACGAAGCCGCGCACGTCAAACCTCATATGTATGTTCATGCGCGATCTTATCTGACCCACTAATTTAACTGTAACTTTTGCCGCGCTCATCTCACAAGATATCTTCGTCATCCGGCGTCCTAAAGAGTAACGGCGATGGAGACCAGCACTGATGGCTATCTTCCGAAGATTCGCCTCCTTTGCTCGGAACGAAATGGTAATGACAAGCGAAACATATTTATGAGCGATTTATACAACGACCAGACTGCGATAAGCCGCAATTCATTATTAAGAACAATATAATCCATTGCCATATAGAATTGCCAGATGAGATGTCAGTTGCAATGTATGTATAATGTGTCGAAAAATTAACACTTTGAATAATAATAGACAAAGCAACAAAATAGCCTCTTTTTTTAAATTATAACAATTATAATAAAATAGTTAAATTAATATATAATAAAAATAGTTATTTTTATTTTTATTACAATTATATAATAAAATAAGTTTTATTATTATATATCATTATGTGATAGAAAAGTTCGCCTTTTTAGGAATTATTGTAATTATCTTATTCAAATTGTGGAACTGTATATGTATGTACGCGTGTAAAATTGAAAATTCACATAATGCTCGCGTGAGATCCTACAAATTGTCACATTCAAGTGCGAACGAGAATTTCGAAAGGTGTCTACAAGACTCATGATGTCCCGCAATCACTTCGTCATCAAGAGATCGAACGGTGCTTGAAAGGTCGTCATTGAATGAAAGTCGCTCGAGGCGAGGCGAGAAACGATACGTCAATTGTACGTAAATAAGAAAATATTTCTCATTATGCAAACATACGGACGGCTTCGGATCAATCTCCGGTTGCGTAATAAAATCGTTACCGTCACTGTCAAAAGACAGCATTGCCTACCGTATATCGATGAACGAGTGCGAGAAAGAGAGATCGCGAGCGAATCAAGCAAACAGCTATGCCTTCGTCTCTCTTTCTCTCTCAGAACAGATGCACGCATTATGAAACTACTCTGGCGAACGAGCGGGAGGTTTATTCAGATCAAGGATCGAATCAACAGTTACATTTGATGTCGATCGCTACAGCATCAAAAATCAGTTGCGCGATTGTCGCATTAAATGACTCGCTGTTATGAAACTATACGTAATAAAACTGATCGAAATTAACGATATTATTCGTATATCATTGTATATTAAGAGAAAAAATTTCTTCTCTATCTGAAAAATAACTCGCTTGTTATTCGCTTACTAAAAGTTATGTAATACACAAAAATAACGAAAATATTAACGCTTATAAAAAATAAAAAAATATGATAAAAATATATAAAATATATTTAAAACAATACATGTAAATTATTGTTTAATATATAAAAGAAAATATAAAACATTAACAAAATTATTTACTTTAATTGTCATATCATCCATGCATAAGTGATGCATATAATTCGCAAGTTTCTCGTTATTTATTTGCTGGTGACGGTTTCATTTACTAAAAATGATTTTTTTACTAAACATTTAAAACATTAAAGGCTAGCTGTTCCATCTTCTGATAAACTATAATAATTTTTCTAATAGATAAATAAAAGAATAAAAAAGTTAGGCTGGTTAGATTGCTCCACCTTTCGATAAATCTCAATTCACTGTCTTAGCTCTGTTTTCACAATCTATGGTTACTTAAAGATTAAAGATTACCAAGAAATTTATGAATGAATTTCATTGATGAATCTCTTAGTAACCTTCAATCTTTAATTAACCAAATGTTGTGAATATATAGTGGGCATATATTCTTACTATCTTCTACTCTTACTCTTTTGTTTATTCGGTAGATAAATTACCACATAGTTTATCCAAAGATATAATAATCGGTTCTAAGAAAATAAAAGAGTGAGCTAAAGTTTATCGAAAGATAGAAAAAATCCAGCTTAAAAACAAAATAATTTATACTAATATATTAAGAAAAAAATAAAATATTATAACAATAAAATCAAACAAAACATTATATTTATTAAATTCAATGCCGAAATCAGTTCGACAATCAAAGTGTTAAAGTGCTGATAATTTATTGTTAAAGGATAGCGGATAGAAGGAAATTAATCAAATGCAAATGTAAATAAATAATTACGAAAGTTAAACATAACTTGCATGACGAATAGAATGATGCAATGATGTATACTTGGAATAACGGATGTAACGAGATGCGGGCCGGATGGGAAAGGACTTTATACTTACCTTTCGTTGCTCCAATTTACTCCTCGAAAAGGTGTTGAGCATAGCGGAAGTAGACGCCCAGTTAAAGTCGGTAACCGGAAGACCGTGTGCTTTCGCTTGCAGCTCGAGCTCTTGCACGCGTAGAAGTAATCTGCGATTCTGATGCTCCAATTGTTTATGCCTCAGCTCGTTCTGCTTCATCCTCGTGAGTTCATTTTTCAACAATTTTATATACTCCACCGAAGACTTGAGAATTGTACCCTTGTTCGGTCTAACGTCCCTAACAATCTCATAATATCTGTAAAAATAAAAAGAACCAAACGACTTTTATTTCATGTTGCAACATTTATATAAATTTAAGGAAAAACTATAAACGCCATATGTACGAACTCTAAAAAATATAGATGTAAATTTAACACTATGGATTTAAAACCATAATGTTTAAATCCTTACACTCATGGTGCAAAGTTTAACATTAAAAAATATTAAATCAATATAAATTAAGTAAGTTTCTCAGACTCAGCGTCAATAACTATTACAGATTTTGTCGTCAATTTCGAAGAATTAATTAATGTCACTGTATAATTTATTAATGAAAGACAAATAATTTTTGTTCAGATGTTTTAATCGATAAAATATATATTTCGTATTCTTAACGTTCTTGCAATCTCCTTTACATCAGTAGCGTCAGTATTATCGAAAAGTTGATAACGTGCTTGTGATTCCTCGGTACAGGTTGTATAAAGAACAGTCAACGTAAGAAAGAAATTCGTGAGGACGTTGCGCTCACGTTTTCAATTTCCTCGGCTCATCTCAGAGAAACATAAAAAGGTGATGACGCCGCCCCTAGTAAAAGGGAGAGTGCTGGAAAAGGGTCACCGGGCTACTTGAAATCCCAAATGCCGCGATTATTTCGTCAGAAACGTATTTGGAGATAGGGTGTTTCGTCAGGAGATTCCCAAAGTTCCTCAACCGACCGTAATACGACTGATATTACCGTTTCTCAGAGCCACCCCGACCGCCATCGACGTTTCGAGGACCACCTTCGAGATGGAATTCCGCGCGGGAGTTCGCGCGGAATATCAGACGGACGGAGACCGATATCTCGACGGGAGACGTAAGCAACGAAGTCCCGAAGAATCTCCATAACATGCGCCGCGTTCTTGTATTCTTCGCACTTTTTCCTTTTTCTCTTCTCTTTTCTTTCCCAGTACACCCCTTGTGTCTCGCGCCTTCTCGTGGATACGGCGATTTGTCGTTAACCTGGAGAATTTCTCACAGTGACGCTCTCGAAAAATTCATGAGGAGCATTCTGCGTATGCAGAAACGAGGAGCAGAAGATAGCATCTTGGAGGTGTCTCCTTGTTCGCAAGAGACATTCGCGATGATCCAGCGCGGACAATCTCGCAACGCCAGTGTGAGGAATGCTCGGCGAGCGGCTCGCGAATAAAAACGTAAGAGTAAGAAAAATTTAAGATTGCCAGAGAAAGTGCGCATTTCTTTAGAAACACGTGGTAATATTTGACGCTGGACGGCATCAGAAATGGCTTGAAAAATGTAGCATACCGTGTTCTCGTTCACTTCGCACATAAATTTCGAACGTTGAATGTATATTAAAGTCGATACAAACTTGTTGCGTATCAATGCAACGATATAACACGGTAAGTCTTCCACTTATACAGTTGGAAAATTCGTGTACAATTTAACAAAAAAAAAATGCAATACTTTGGCATAATTTAGAAATAAATTGTAAACTCATATTTCTTTAAGAAAATTAATGTACATTATATAATATGTAAAATTAACATTAATCTTTTCTTCACTAATTTTAGAATTTATGTATTTATATGTTAATTTATATTATTTTTATGTTGTTTGTTTATGAATCATGTTATTTTAATATTAAAAACCGTTAAATATCAATGTAACACAAAATATACAATACAATACAATATACGATATACAAGAAAGAATATACGAGAGAATAAACAACAAATTTGTATTCACTTTTACGAAACATGTAGCGCGAGTTATATCACAAAAATGTCGAAGATTGGAAAAAGAAAGTGTAGATTGTATAAACGCAGGTAGCGTTTTTTTTTCTGAAGCAAAACAATATTGTTCGTAGAAGATCAACAACATGTTCAAACAGAGATAAGATACATCTGATAAGGTACAGATATTATATTAAACTATATGTAATTCTCGCGATAATACAAATCAGTATTTGTGATTAAACTACAGCTCGAAAAAATTAGATTTATCTTTCACCGATATGCCATGCCGATATGTCATTAATCATGCTTTTTTTGACATTGATGTTGATATCGATAGCTCATTTGCTTCGTCAATCTTATGCCGTACCGTAACAAATATTCGGGTTAGCGAAAACTGTTGACGTGGCGCGACGCAAGACCAATATGAAATTTCTCGTAACGGACAGCAGAAATTCGCCGAGGGAGAGAGAAAGCTCTCCATTGTGATTTAAATATTTCCATGCGAAACTCGGAACAACACTCACGGATTTTCGTCGTTACTCACACTTTTTCTCTTCACGCCGCGCCATGCCGCGGGGCCGTTGATTTACGGCGAAATCGTTTCGTCAATTTATCGCCCGAAAAATCGCAAGTTACCGGCATCTGCAAAGGGGAAAACGAGACGCCGAATAGAAAGCCTATGATAAGGTGGCATTCGTCATGTCTCGGCGACACATCCATCTTTCGTGGACTCTGCGGTGAATACTCCCTCGAGAAACCATAATCCTCCGCTTTATCTTGCGAGGAGGATTGAACCATCGTGCGAATATCGCGCACCTTTATATTTACGCAATCAAAAAACCAAAATCCCGAGCATGTAGAAAGGAAACACGGCAACAGTCTGCTTACTTTCGCAAAAGTCTCTTTTTTATAACAAAAAAATATATCCTAATTAATTTAATACAAATATAAAAACGAGCGATGGTGATAATATATATACACAATAAAATAAAATTCATAAATAAAATTTTTTGTAACATGTAGAAATTATTTAGTCTCAAAATTTATACACATCAGTAAAAGGCATTTTGTTTTGTATTGTATTAAAATAGATTTCTGTTATATCTTTGAGTTGAATTTTTAACATATACCTGAATATTAATTTATCATAATATGTGATTTAAATATTTTGTGTTAAATTGATGTTTAACATTTAAAACATACTTTCTAAGATAAATAAATATGTAAAATCCGTGTTAATTTAATTTATTATTAATATTACAAAAAAGTGTTTTTAAATTGTGTTAATTTAATAAAAAAATTTGAGTGGACCATTTGGGACACGTAAAATTTATTTTTAACACTTTTCCAGCTGTACATAAAGCACACATAAAACAATTTAAAATAAAGCTACCAAACATGAAACAGTAAATTATAAAGCAGCATAACTACAAATAATTAATAATTATCTACTGTTTTATGCTTCGCGGTAAAATAGTCCACGTTTCTTATTACAGCGCGAATGCTCTCGTGATGCTGCTAATAATTTACATTACCTCGACAAAACTGTAATTAAATTCACGCGCGATCGCGGATCGCAAATGGGCGCGTCGCTGCATGACTCGCGAGATTTTGCGCCTGCCGAGCAAACTCCGAAACCAAACAGCCGTCGGTATATTGCATAAAGCATCACTTTTCCACGTGAGGCGTCGTCATACAACTTCGCGACGAGCGAATTTGCGGCCGTGTAGGTTCGCGTACTTCAACCCGAGAGGGGCTTGCGAACTGCGTTTTCGTAAACACGCTTACTACACCAAATTCGGTATTTTATTAATTTCACCTAAGAGTAAAAGAGCACTTATATTTTTCAACGGTGAATTTGCTAAATTGTTCACGGTTTACGGATTTGTTGGATTCAACGGAAATTCTGTTGCCGTGTTTCCAAATTAATGCGAGTTAACATTCCGAACTGCTGCATGTAGTTTCAACAAAACCAATGCGGGTTTTCCTAACTTTTGCTACCGAATACTTATAATTGGATCCATCGTACAGCTACGATAACTTTTTAATCGATAAATTTTAATGCAAGGTATTTTCTCTGTATTCTCATACAATACATATCGCTGCCTTTCTTCAAAAGTTACATAACTTAAAAAATTAAATTTCCCAGAAAAAGAGATAAAAAGTGATTATTTTACTTGACAAAAAATGATAAAGTAACCGAATTATATATATATTTTTTTTTATTTTTATCATTTTTGTTTCATGCAACCTTAAAACACTCTTTTTGAGTTTTAACGATTTCAACATTTTTTAAATTATCCTTTTTAAATTTCAATTTTTATGATATTTTTAAAAACCATCTCTTTTAAATCGTAGTAATTTTGATAATTTTTAATAAAATTAAGTTACTTTACTTTTGATAATTAATACACATAGTGTTTATCTCGTAACTCATTAATGATAACAGTTCAACATAAAGCTTTTTAAGTTAAATCACTTTTGAAGTAAGAAACGCTGTCTATCCTAATAGCCATATAATCTTCGTTTATTTGTGTTGACATCAAAAGCAGCCTTCATGTGTTGAATAAACACTGAGAGCAAAAATGTGGGCCATTATTTAGTTAGCTAAAGAACTGTTTCAACATAACGTCGTGCAAGTTCGCAGATTCAATTACCGTTTCATTATTGTTAACAGGAGCATGCGAGCGAATAGTTAAACATTCCGCGTTTCGTCAGAGACGAAGTGACATCGGCGCGGCGCGGCGCGGCGGCGCGTTTCAGGCCTCCTTCACGAGTCGCGCGCGGTTTTCGTACTTATACGCGCGTCGGAAACGAGTTTGCACGATGAACAATAAACAGCCAAGTGCATCGACGGGGTTTCCCTCCATCGCTCGCGTTAATGAGGTACGACGTAAGGAGCGTGAGGGTGGCGGGGATTTGGGGCGTTTTGTAGGAAACGAGGACTATTCCGAAACTTGAACGCGATGAACGGAGACACTTATATCACCGGAGGAAGGGACGAAGAGAAATCTGTGCCGTGTTTGCCGGTGTCTTTAGAACCAGGGCTCTACTTCGTTATCACAGACGCGCTATCGCACCGAGTTTACCCGCGTTTTGCTTGATATCGTCCCCGGCCAAAGCCGAAACTAAAACCCTACAGGAGAAAGACGTTACAGAGAAGACGCCTAGACACCGACGAGAAGTTGTAACGCGCGTTATTACTGACGCGTCATTTATTCTCCCTTCCTTACTGGATACGATTAGCACGAACAAATTTTGTCAACCGCGACTTTGAGAAAAATAAAACTACATTTTCCCATACAATTATGCAAATGCAATTATTTTTATTGCATATATTTTTAAGTATATCTAATGAATCAAATTTCACATTTAAGAATTATAGCCTTAGTCATAAGTATGAACGTAATCTCGATTTATTGCATTTTCTTGGAAAAAAAAAGCAGTTAAAGCCAAAATATTAACAAAATTTTAATATTGTTATAAAAATAAATATAATTTTTTCAATGAGACTACTTTCCAAGTTATTTTTCATTAAAATATAAAACGTTTGTGGCAATTTGTGGAAGTACTTTATATTATATGTACTCATAATCGGAAGATACATCAAAAAATCCGTAACAAAAGTTAATATATGTACACAGTAAAAAACATTTTATATTTATGTTAAAACTGATTCATTCAAGTCATTATTAAAATTTTGTGCTGGATTTTTAACATATGAACATTAATTTAAAAAACATAATCCGATTATCTTATTTAAATCTCTTATTTCAAATTAATATACTTTTTAATGTCAAAATAAAGTAATTTATGAATTTATAAGAGTAAATATAAGTGATTATGAATAAGTAAAGAAATAACATAAATATAATATATTTTAAAATGTAAATATTAAATAATTATAATATATGTTAACTTAATGTATCATAAATGTTAACTTTACTGAAAAATATGCTTCCACTGCAGTTTGCTTATGAGTTATACCATATTAGTGTTACATTTTTTATGTTAAATTGGGTTACATAATATGTATTTATGCTACTTTATAACATATTCATCTTGTGTTAAAAATTAACACAAAAATTTGTGTTTAAAACACGTGAAATGTGTTCAATTTAAAAATGTGTCCTTTGTGATTTATAATAAAGATTAATAATTGACAATTAAGAGCTGGATTTCTAATACATTTTATGACATTTACAATAAAAGATTATAAATTAATGGAATTATCTCTATCTTTGTTAAAAATATTTGTCTTATATCCATTTGATTTACTTGAATCATATCAAATTTTTTTTCAAGTAAACTCGCACCTGTAAAGAAATTGTGCAATATGTACTTGATACACGGTTGACAATTTATCTTTATCACTCGCGATAGGCCCAGAAGCGTTATCACACGTTTGCAGCGACTGCACGCCATTGTCTTATCGATGTAATGAGCGTCATTAGATAAAAGGCGCTCGACGAATCGAGGACGTATGTGCGTACTAATGTCGCACGCGATGCACAGATGCGTGGACAATATGGTTCGTATATGCGCGCGAGACCGGAATGTCAATCGGGAAATTTAAAATGCGCGTTAAATGCAATTTCAGAGAGGCATTGAAACGGAGTATAAATTATCGCTGACAAACACAATCGAGGTAAAGCCGCATTAATTCAACTTTCATCAGTTTCATCTCGTCAGCTCCGAAATATCGAGAGAGAAATTCGAGACGTAGAACACGTTAATCCCAAAGCGTGCTCGTGTTATCGCGTCTATCAGTGACGTGTCGAAAAATATGACGGGAATATATGACGGCAGATATAAAGAACGCACGCCCGTCCTGCACGCTTCTTCTTCATTGGGCGCAGATAACGTAAATTACGATGTGTTAAATCAATAATTACGAGCAACGAACTTTGCGTCTCTCTTCGCGCGAAGAGTTTGCGTGAAAAGCGTGTTAGCGACGAAAATGAAGAATTATATTTTAAAAGGAGTGATTTTTAAAAAATGTCAAAATCGTCACCATTTAAGAAGATTGATTTTTTAAGGATTTTTTAAGAATATTGATTTTTTGTGGAACTAAAATGACATTTAATTATGTTAAGAAAATATTATTTTTTGCCAATATTATTTCATTAGTCAACAATTTTCTGTCGAGTTAAAAAAAGATTTTAATGATAACTCAAAACGATATAATTTTTCTATTATTGACTACGAAATCAAACCTAAATATTTATCACTGCATAAAGATTTCGTATCGTTAAAAAAGTTGAATATTATGCAATTAATGTTAATCATAAACCAATTTTTGTTTGGATTTTTCAATAGTTTTTCGTAAATCGATATTCAAAGAAATGAGTAGCGCAAGAGAAGATGATACCGAACCCGAAAGAAGGAGTTTTTAAGTTCGTCGGAGATGTTGACGCAGACAAATGGATCGATCGTCGGATTGATAAATGAACGACGAACCCGTTCGGCTATTCTATGCAAAAGCGTCGCTCGTTAATACGTCGTGTGTCGAAGAAGTCTCGAGAAGATTCGTGTCAGGGATCATGTCCGAAACAGGTCAGACACGAGCTGATCGTCGACGTAAAATCTCGTGGAAAATAACGGCAAAGAAAAACAAATTCTCTTCCATCACAGATGCAATACACGACTAAGAAACATTCTCCCTCGAAATATTCATTTGAGATAATTTGCACCGCAATGCATATATTGTCTGAAAGTCATTAACTCGCTATCAAAAAAAGATTTTGTAATTTTAAACTTGCAAATAATTAAAAATAGAAAGATAGAATTTTATAATTCTAAACTCTCTAAACTATCAATTAAGTTTATTTTATAGAATAGTATAAATATAAATACATAAATTCCATTAGTCAATTATACATTACGGCTAGTATTACGATTTGAAAAGAGCAACAAAAGATATATAAATATTGACAGGATTTAGCAAGCTGAAGATTTTACAGCTAAATAAATCCCTTCAAACATAAATGTCGAACGATATAGATAAGATCTTTATGAGGCTATAACTCAATAGAATGGCGAATAATTAAATGTTGATTGAATAACCCTAACTTAAATTAAAATTATCTCCTATCGTGACGAAACTAACATCACAAAAAACTGAAGTGCCATGATTATACGATGTTAAAATTAAATATTAAAATACTATGTATAAATCATAATTTGTTTCTTTTAATATTAATAGATATTTATGTTTATTAATAAATATTTATGTTATGTAGTTGAATATAAAACAAAACCTCGAAAACAATTAGATTACACTGAATTCTATTTTTATAACATATTCAAGAAAATATATTATTTTCTAAATTTAAATATTAAAGAAAATTTTTTTTAGTTAGAGTGTGTAAAGTGCCATAAAAGATTAATTTTTGTAAAGTACCTTATGTTAGAACACAAGAACGCGTATGTCCGGCATTGTCGGAACACACGGTAACAGGAGGGATAAACAATAAACTTCGTGTTTTTTAATCTCTCCCCCCCCCCCCCC